CGCGTTTTGATATCGTTTCAGTACATCAGTTGGAGATAGCAGGCCTCGAACCCGTGACCTTTTGAATATCAACTCTATGGCTACCCTGTCACGGAGGGCAACTTCTGTCACATTGGTGAATTCATAATGGGGGGGTCACTTTTCGATTACACGTTGTGCGATTGCAAATAAACGCACAATCTTTATTTGGACGGTAATTTACATTGAAGTGAACCTTCAATAATTTGGTCACTAGGACTGTAGACGAATCTAAAGGAAATTCGCTGTTGTCCGCCCGAAAACACTGCACAACCACGACGCGCTTCGATGTCATTCCACTATATCAGATGGAGATAGCAAACCTCACACCTATGACCAATAACATCATAGTGGAATCCTTCACCCCATGTTGTACCGTGTCACGGCAGACATCACTCGTAACAACAATGCATGAATTAATGTAGGGTCAATTGTGGATTTCGCGTTGTATTTGGATTACAACGCGCAATCTCGATGTGTACTGCGATTTACATGAAAACGTGAGCCGTGGTAACTGCGATCAATAGGACAATGAACATTGAACAATGAATTTATACGGGTTAAGAAGCGTTGCTTTACAAGTCCCGTTGGATAGTTGGTGGAAATATCAGCATAACAGTAATGATGATAAGGATAATAAAATAGTTACTACTTTAAATATGAAAATAAGGACTTATCGTTTGCTTCGCTGCAGTCCTGCGATCCTCTTAGATTCACAGCATCCACAGTTAACAACAAATAATTCCATGGTAAAACCCAGGTGTAGGATGGAGACGTAGTGTTAAGTAACAAAGTGTAACTGGATGAGTGCATCGTCCAACCGTCCTTTAAATACTGTTAGTGTCTGTGCAGAGACGACCGATTCTGGGAGAGCATTCCACGGGTGACAGACACGAATGGAAAAGAAATTTCTCCGGCACTCCAGACGACTGTATTGTTCTGCGAGTTTAATGAGTGGCCCCTCAGGTTTGTATTGCTACTGAGTTGCAATAAAGAGCGGCACACATGATGTGGGTCTCGCAGAATCAAGTATGCCATAATCAGGTTGCCTCTTATTCTGCAACAGCTGCCACTGAACAATCCCAGTCGTTGCAGCCTCTCCTAGTAGGAAAGATTGCGCATTCCAATTACGTTCTTAGATGCCCGACGTTGTGGTTGCTCCAGTGCATTAAGGTTGTGTTTAAGCCATGGATGCCAGGGTTGAATTGAGTATTCGACATGGGTGCGAACATACGCACTGAGCTGTTGTCGAAATATGGAGCTATTTATTTGTCCGAACGCCCGCCTCAACAGCCCAACGTGTTGGTTTCTGGTCTTGGAGGCCCTTTCGGATTGCCTGGAGCAACCCAAGTCATCTTGAACCAGGACACCCAAGTCACGTTCAAGAG